AAACATGTTTTCTTTATGGCGTTGCCCTTCATTTTTTTCCCCTTCCTGCTAATCTCTGTTAAATTGTTAGTGTTGACAAGGAAATAAAGACAAAAACTTCTTTTATCCTTTATTCAAGGAATTATGGTAATTGTTAAATTATAAATCTCTTTGATTTCTTTGCTACCTAATTCACTCTTTCCTTGTCCCTTTCCTCATGGCTTACTTGGTCCCTGGTGGGTGGGGGGGGGGGGGGGGGGGGGGGGAGATATGCATAGAAACATTGTCTGCAGTTTCTGCTATTTTACTTTAAATATTGATCTATCAATTATGAATTTGCAGGTGCTGAGTAATATGTTGTTTATTTATATATTAACTCCATGATTATGGTTCTTGTAGGGTGAAGTAGAGTAATGCTAGGAAGATGGGAAAGAAAGGCAGCTGGTTTTCTGCCATCAAAAGGGTTTTTGTGCCCAATTCTTCTTCCAAGGATAAGCAAATTAATGTAAGAAAATATTGATTTCAAATGTGTTTCAATCTCTTTATTTTTATTGCTTCACTTGTTCCTCTTTATTGCTTCAAATGTGTTAGTAGATAGAGGGTGTCAATTTGTTTTTCCTATTCTGGTTTACCTTCCAATTGCAAGACCCTAGCCTAAGTCACGTTAAATGTAACAGGGAACAGAAAAGAAAGCGCCTCAGGAAAAGAAGAAAGGACGGAGAATACTAAAGCGTGGAGAGATCAAATCATTTCTCTTCAGAGAACCAAGTAGTATCGAGAAAATTCTGGAGGAGGCAGATGAACAGAACCTACTTGTTCCTCTTTATTACGAGCAACAAAAAGATGCTGCTTTTGCAAGGCCAACATCTCCAAGGCTTTCTCCTTCCCGGGCTTCTTCCTGTAGAGCTGCTTCGCCAAGGTACTCTCCTCCTAGGGTTGCATCCCCGAGGGGTGGTCCTCTAAAAGTTAGCTCCCCACGAGCTGCTTCTCCAAGGACAATATCTCCAAGGGCAATATCTCCTCGGGCTGTTTCTCCAAGGGCAATATCTCCTCGGGCTGCTTCTCCAAGGGCAATATCTCCTCGGGCTGCTTCTCCAAGAGCAATATCTCCTCGGGCTGCTTCTCCAAGGGCAATATCTCCAAGAGCAACATCTCCAAGGGTTAGTCCTCCGAGGGTCACCTCTCCCAAAGTTGCTTCTTCTAAGGTGAACCAGAACCGCAAAGAAACCAGCTATACTCATAGACCAGAACCGACTTTACAAGTGCTTCATTTCTCAGCCACTAGGATCCAGGCAATCTTTCGGGGTTATATGGTAAGCTTATAGTAAACTAATACATGGGTACACTATCATTTCTGTTGAATGTCGAGAATTATAATTACTCATTTACATGTTTTAAATCAGCCTTAAAGCAACTATGTATTAATTTGTGTGCCATGCCTTGTTTTCTAAGGAGCAATCATAGTTATGTGAGCTTTATATATCTATATAAAGACCTGATAATTTACATCCTTTAATATAAACCTGGCATCATTATTTTGCATTTGTTCTAGTTTTGTCTGGCCTTCCAATCTTCAATATTCGTTTCAAACTCTTTACTGGCTAGGATTTTTTTGCAAATTTAATTTTCTGATCGTATAAAATGTGGGAGGCAATGAGGCATAATGAATTTGATCATCATGTTACGGTGTTGATTCCTTAAATATGCATAAAAGTAATATTTTTCTCTGCAGAAGTAATAGGATTATTTATATGCTTATCCAAAAATACTAGACATATTACGAATCTTCAAACTTATAATACTATTTATCAATTCTATTCTCAATATTCTGGTGGAAAATACTTGTACAGAGCAGCAATATAAATATGAAAAGGGACATCATGATTCATGAGGTTGAAGCATAGAAATTATTAATGTTATGTTTATTGTAACAGGCGAGGAAGAATTTCAGATCTTTGAGGGGTTTACTAAGGCTTCAAGCAGTGGTTAAAAGCAATAGCGTCAAGAGGCAAACAGCCAATGCCATGAAACAGTTGCAGCTTTTAGTTAGGGTACAGACTCAAATTCGATCAGGGAGGATCCAGATGTTGGAAAACCAGGCACTCCAATGGCAGGCTTACAAGAATGATAAGGATGGGGAGAGCACCCTGAGCAAATGGTCCCAGATGGTAAGTTTCCATGCATTTCCATTTTCATTTCCATGGCTTATACATTCCAGCAATGGCTCTTTGGTGGAGATTCATCTGTGATGACCATTTCGCTGAATATTTAGTATAAAGCCTTAGATATCCTATGTGACCTCCTTGATGGGTTTAAGTCTGCATGGTCTGTATTTTCTTTAGTAGTTAATTGTATAATCTTAGAGCCTATCCGCAATTGTTATCGAATATGCACTTGTCTACAGCATTGGTTCATTCCTTCAACTATATATATATATATATATATATATATAGACTCATGATCAAATGAGTCCACCCCTTCCTATGAGTCCGTGTGGACAGATCTTAGTCATTGAATGCTTGAGATCAATGGCATAAATTTCGTCAACTGTGCATCGCGAACTGTGCAAGTGAAGTGCACAGTTGGCGAAATCTAAGCCACTGATCTCAAGTATACAATGGGCCCAGATCTGTCCACACGGTCCTGGGTTTGACAGGCCCGGACCGCCCCGCCAGTGGCCCGCTGGTTAGGCGGGCCCCCGCCCAAACCCCCTTCTTTTAAAAAAAATTGTTCATCAAACATCAAACTAATTAAAATAAATTGATACATAAGTCATAACTCACATAAAACATAATAATCAAACATTAAATATTACATAAAGTTCAAAGTTCATAGTTCATCAAACATCAAACTAGTCACAACTACAAAGTCCAAAAATATTACACATAACAATAATTTTAAAGTGCATATTTTATATAAAATAAAAAAAAATAATGGTGGGCCGCGGGCTAAGCGGGGTGGGCCAAAAAAGCCCGCTCCTAAACGGTCCTCTATTTTCAAAACCCGCCCCCTACCTAAGTAGGGGCGGGGCGGGCCGGACCGGCGGGCTAAGCCCGTTTTGACGGCTCTAGGCATAGATTTCGCGAACTGTGCAAGTGAAGTGCACGGACTCGTGGGAAGGGGTGGACTCACCTGAACAATGGCCTATATATATTGAGTGACAGGGCACTACCTGAGGGTGTGAACTGGTAAATCCCGCCTTGTAACCCTAGCTAACAAAGGACCACAAGGAGGTAAACCAGCCTAGGTTGGTCATAGTTGACTGGCTCAAACCAAGTAGCTCAATAGGCTACTCCCGTTGGGAGTCGAACTTGTAACATTGTGGTTACCAAGTTAACAATCTGACCAACAGTCCAATTTGGCTAGGGTTGCCCCCATTATATATTTAGTTGTAGGGCATGGGGAACTATCAAATGAAAATTCTTATACAACACTTTTGACATCTTCTGATGCTAAAGATATTTGTTTGGTTTAGTCTGAGGCAGGTAATGAGAAATGGGATGATAGCATGCTAACCAAAGATGAAACTGACCAAAGGTGGCGAAAAAAAGTAGAGGCAGTCATGAAGAGAGAGAGAGCCTTGGCCTATGCATATTCTCATAAGGTAATAAGGTTGCTTTTCTTTAACTTGGTTTATCATTGGATACTAATTTCTGGTGACACTTTTAAATCTATGTGCAGTTGTGGAAAGCCAATCCTAAGAACATCCAATCCAATGGATTCCCGTGTTGGTGGAAGTGGTTAGAGCGCCAGCCACCTTCTGCAAGTTGTTCAGAAAGCCCGTCTGCTGTGAAAAATGTCCCCCGAACACCTTCAAGTGCAATTTCAGACCGTAAAAAAGGGAGCCCTTTACTCCAAACTCCCAACTATAGATACCCAAGTAGCGAATATGACAATCTTGAATCGGAGACTCCAACATCAACAAAGTCGGCGATCCCAATGAGAGCGAGACCATTTCATACTCCCGGGAGAACGCCTCCAAATTCAATCCTAAGAAAGTACACTCGTGCCCGATCCAATGCTACTGGATCGCCTTTCCAGTTCCCGTTGAAGGATGATGACAGCCTAACAAGCTGCCCTCCGTTTTCCGCTCCGAGTTACATGGCACCTACCATCTCAGCTAAAGCGAAAGCGAGGCCAAATGCCAATCCGAGGGAAGGGGAGTTTGGGACCCCGTCTAGTGGCGCAGCGAGGAGGTTAACCTTTCCTTTTACTCCAAATATCGGGTCTTTCAAGTGGAACAAAGGGTCCAACAAAGATGCTGCATCTCTACGGGAATTTGACAGGAGCGCGGATGGGATGAGTGTGGATTCCACTGTTTCTATGCCAGCTATAGTTGGTAGGAAACCTTTTAACAGATTTGTGTGATTCGATTTCTTGAATGTTTTTCTGTGTTGTCGACGTTTGTAGCGTTAACCTTGGAATTTGCTAGTGTCTTTGTATGTATGGTGATATGTTGATTCCCAAATACTAATATGCACAATAATGGTAGAGTAGGGAATGTTCTGAGTGTAGTTGAATATTTATAAAAGTTGTAGTGTGCATATTCTGTAACTTTTGTCTTTGGATCAATGTGTAAGTCAGCTTCTATTGTGGCTGTAATTGTAAGCCTTGGTGGCTTGCTATTGCATGGATTGATGAATGAGGATAGGAGATTTTTTTTTTCTTTTTGGTATAACTTAAGATTTTCATTGTCGGACACAATGACTAATCTCTTCGCTGAATTGTAAGCATCTCTAAAGGTGAGACAATGACTAATCTCTTCGCTGAATTGTAAGCATCTCTAAAGGTGAGACAGATACAATAACTAATCTCCTCGCTAAATTATACGCAACTCTAAAGGTAAGGTAGATGGCATAGAGATTTAAAACTGTTCCATACCCAAAGTCAAAAATCAATTCCTTGACATTTCATAAAAGACTAGAGCTGTCAAAATTAGCGGGGGACCGAAGATTTTCGAACTTATCAACCCACAGTCTGCTTAGATAGTAATACATAAGGCTTTGAAAGTGTAATGTAGATTGTGCAAAACCATGTCTAATCTTTCTCTGATAGCTAAAATCCAACCTTAATTTTCAAGATAAACTTTTTGACAATAAAATACATTTTCAATTTTGAAGAAATAGCACAACAAGAAACAGTCCCCTTTGCTTCAAAACAGAGCAAAGATCCAATCAACTTAAGCTTTTTCTATGCACTTTCTCCCATTCCTAATGCCATAAATAGCAAATGTGCTTTAACTAGCCAGTACTGAAATATGGCATTGGCAATCTACCAAGGGCAAAAAAAAAGCTTCAAAGCATATTGCAACAGCATTAGTTCTTTCATCATGCAGAGGGTGCTTGAGATCTTGGCTTTGTGTACCCTAGACTTATAAGCTTTTGCATCAACTTTTTCTCTGCTTCTCCCTGAGTACATCAAAAAGTAAAACACGATGAAAATTGTTTTTAACATCCAGGAATGTTCCAATGCTCAAACAATAAAGAGATTCAAAATTCAAAATTGAATTCATCATCATGTAGCATGTATGTATGTAATACAACCCATAAATGTGATCATGTAAGTAGAGTTTGGTGAAAGGTGTAGTGAATCTGTTATTCATTTGTGCCTCTACTTGTAGCATTGTTTCCAAATTTATACTTGCACTAATTTCCACAAGTCAATCATACGAGGATGCTAAAACTGATGAAAAATGTCCAGTACTTTTTAGTCAAAATAACAAACAGCATTTGTTAAGATTCACATTATAAAAATTCCATCTCTACATTTTCCTTTTCCATTAAGAATTATTTATGTAATAGTATTGCCTTGTATAGAAAAGCAAGATATGAGAGAGAGAGACCATGAGATACCTCAAGCATGGGGCTATTTTTTGGGATATTAGAAGCCACTACTATATTGAGGCCAGTCTTCAAAACTGCAACAAGGAACTGTTACAGCATATTTATCCAGAAATTGTGATAAAGAACAAGATGTTTTGGGTGTAACTTACCTAATCGACGTGCAATTCCGGATCCTGTATTATCAGATGATCCTCCAAGTAAGCAAGTAACAGCAACTGTGTTGCTCTGTGCATATCATGAGGTGCGATAACATGACCAAACATTTCAAAAAGAGAAGGAAAACTTATGATGACTCATTAAATGCAATTACATTACCAACTTGTGTGCAACTATAGTACTACTAAAGATTTTTGACATATACCTTACATGATATACAACTTTGGGAGCCCCAATAATATTGATTTCCTAATTCCTACTTAAGGTTAAATTGCAACTACATTACCAACATCTTGTGAGCAACTATAATTTTCTGTAAAAGATTCAAGTATTTAACACTTAAACCCACATAGCCTCTCCAATTTGTATAATCCTCAACAAAAAATCATGAAGACAAGAGACAGAAATTTTCCTGAGCTATGTGAAATGGAGTACCATCCGAAACGTAAATAAGATCCTAACTTACAGGGCGTGTAGAAGCAGCTGCATATAGATGTCCAAACTTTGCAGAGTTGCAGCCTATCCATACATATATCTAATTAAACAGAGATTAATTTGAATGTGTTATTATAATCAGTAATGTACAAGAAGAGGAACCAATTTACTCACAGTAAGCAATCACAAAGAGAACAGTACAACAGAGACATATACATTTGAAACATGTAAATCGGGATGTGAAGAACAGGAAACATAAATTTGAAATATCTCAGTGTTCAGAATGAGAGTTAAAGTTGTTAAACCTCTTCTGGTATATGTTATTTTCCCTGTCTTAACTTTTAAAGCCTTTAGCAAGTAGCCAACACACATTCCCCAGGTCCCATGGCAAAGGATTTTTGTGCTATTAGTCCTGTTAGAATCTAAGATTGGGCCGAGGTCACTCAATTGAGATGTAATGCACATAAGCAAAACCACACTAAAATATTGAATCAAATCAATTAGCTAGTCTAACTCATGGCCTTATAGACTCATATCTTATTTTTTTCAATATAGGGCTCTTAAGAAGTTTATTTACTAAAATAAAAACCAAATTTTTAGCTAAAATTTCAACTGGCTGCAAAACTTTGGCTTTTTTGAGTTATATTCCTTTCCATAAATACAGTGAAAGATACTCTATACTTCTTCAACAAACTACAGATAGCAGAGCATTCGAAAGATGTAATATGTAGGAAAAAAGATACCTGCTTCTGAAGGCGGATTATCTGGAAATGGAGGTTGACGTCATCTTGGGAGACTTCGGAGAAGCAGGTGATTTGCACGCCGCAGCCATGGTCTTCTTTTACTATGCTAGAATTGTCTCCGTTAGAAGACGACGCTAAATCTGTGATTTTCAGATGATTGATGCTGTCCTTCAAAGCACCGATTTCTATATCCTCTCGTGAATTCATTAGTTATTTCTCCAGAAATAGTTTTTGCGGATGAATAGAAATTTTTTTGGTGATTAGGGCTTTTCTGAGGTTTTACTGCAAAGTGCAAATTATCAGTTTGAAGTGATTTCCTGTGAGCGTGGCGGCGGCGCTTTGGAGTGGCTGTGTGCTCCTCTATGTTTAAAGGCGGACGGGTATGGAGTGACCGGCGCTGCGCTCTCCGACGACTCGCGTCTACGAATCTGGGTGGTCGTTTCCTCGTCTTGGGTGAAGCGGCGGCACTCTATTTCGGCATGACCGAGAAGTTATAATCCAGGTGGATTATAATAATAATAATAATAATAATAATAATAATAAGAGTTAATGAACAAATTGGTCCCTCAATTATTAACGAATTGTCAATATAGCCCCTCAATTTCTTATTCATCGATTTGATCCACGAAAACAATTATTTTTAGTCGATTTAGTTCTCAGGCCGTCTTTCGTCGATGGCCTGATGGATTAAATTGACTAAAAATAATTATTTTTGGGGGTCAAATCGACAGTAAGATGGACTAAATCGACTAAAAATAATTATTTTTGGAGACCAAATCGATGAATAAACAATTGAGGGGCTACATTGACAATTTGCTAATAATTGAGGGACCAAATTGTTCATTAACTCTAATAATAATAATAATAATAATAATAATAAGGGATAATTGCATTTTTCGTTTCTAAGTATTGGTCATACTCACTTTTCGTCCCTAAGTTATTATTGGCATTGCACTTTTGATCATTTTGTGCTCACTTTTTGTCCATGAGTTATACTAAAATTGTAAATTTCGTCCCTAATATTTTATTAGTAAAGAGATGAAAAATGCAACATCAATGATAATTTATGAATGAAAAGTGAGTATTACCAACATTTAAAGATGAATTCTACAATTAACCTATAACTTAGGAACGAAAAGTGTAATTTTTCCTAACAATAAAATATAAAATAAAATAAACATTTGACAGTCCAATCAGCAAAAATCGGGATTAACCTATTAAAAATGTTAATTGTTCTTTTTTTTTTTAATTCAAATTTGTAAATAATTTTAGAGCTTATTTGAATTTGGTGACTTAATTACGATTTCCTAAATAGTTCAGTGATTTATTTATACTTTTTTTTTTTCTTTTTAAAGTACAAATCTCAATATAATTGTTTTTATAAATATACGGTTAAAATTTATTTTCAATTTTTACACCAGAAACTATTCTCATTGGATCTCAATCCTATATATATAATCAATTGTTATACCGTGAAACCGTGTCTACCTTGTAAGGTGGACACAATTATATGTTCATAATTTTTGAACTTCATACTCACATTGAACTCTATATTCACAATTACAGAACTCTATGTTCATAATTTTTTGAATTTCATATTCACATTGAATTCTATATTCACAATTACAGAACTCTATGTTTATAACTCTATATTTATAATTATGTTCATAATTTTTAAACTCTATATTTATAACTATGACAATTTTAAAACCGTGTCCACAACATAAATTGCCATACACAATGGATAGTTATGCTGTGCAACCGAATGTACCATGCGCATGGTGCATACGATGCAAAACGACGTCATTTTGATTAAAAACGCGCGTCCCACTTTAAAAAAAAAATTCAGGTTCGATTCTCGGCAATAGCATTATTGTGGATATATAGTTATGAATTTCTGGATATATAGTTATAAATTTGTAGATATATAGTTATGAATTTATGGATATTTAGTTCATTCATTGTGGATATTTAGTTCATTCATTGTAGATATTTACTTCATTCATTCACTGTGGATATATAGTTATGGATTTATGGATATATAGTTATGAATTTATGGATATTTAGTTAATTCATTGTGGATATTTAGTTCAATCATTGTGGATATTTAGTTCATTCATTGTGGATATTTACTTCATTCATTCACTGTGGATATATAGTTATGAATTTGTGGATATATAGTTATGAATTTCTGGATATATAAAAATGCTATTACCGGGAATCGAACTTGATTTCTTCTTTAAGTGGAACGCGCGTTTTTTTAACCAAAACGGTACCATTTTGCAACCGTATGCACCTTACAAGGTGAATTCGATTGCACAGCATAATTTGCGATACACAATGGGACCAACTCCAAGGCTGCAATAGTCAACAACCATTTTCATTAATTCTTGGCCCATATAGACATTTATACATATTAATATTTTTAATTGGGCCCCCAAATTTTAGGGGCCTTTATCATTGTTCTAGAATAGTTATACCGTGGATGATCTTATAAAGTAGATTACTAAATACTAATATATGTTTGTTTGTCTTTTTTTTTTTTTTTTTTTTTTTTTTTGGTTTATATATATACATTAGTTTCTCAGTTTACGTCGGACTAATCTAAACCCTTAGAATTCATGTCCAAGAATTGCTTGATAAAGTAAATTGCGAGTTGCCCAATTAGTCTTCAAATTCTCACCCCTTGCCTTGTACATTTGCGCATAAAGATCTTCATCACCTCCAATCAGTCAAGGTCTCCCAATGACCCCCACCTATTGTTAGAACAAGATTTTAGAATGACCGAACCAATTGATCTAACCCTGCTGGACAATATATATTTCTTTTTCGTATACGGTAAATTAATTTTTTAATATAATACAAATTTATTATAAGATACACAAAAATCTATAATACAATAAAAATAAATCTGTAATATATTAAAAATAAACTTGTATATTAGAAGGGTGAATCAACGATTTGGTCCCTCACTTATTCGTGACTTGTCAATGTTGCCCCTGAATCACGTATTCATCGATTTAGTCCCCGAAAATAATTGTTTTTCGTCAAATCAGTCCCTATGGCCGTATTCCGTCAAGTCTCAGGCGAGAGCTCCGATTTGCCCGGGGCATTTTGGTCTTTTCACGCCTTCTTCTTCATTAACTCTGACCAAGCTTCGCCGGAGGGAGCTCCATCTCTTCTCTGCTCGTCGAAATGAGCTCATCCACAGTATTCCAACTCTTCTTTTTCTTCCTCTAGGTTTTTTTTTTTTTTTTGAAAGTTGTGGCCGGAGAAAGCTTAAATACCCGGTGAGGGGGGTCGGGTATGTGCTAAAGACTGGGGAAATGGAAGCATCGTGCGTGTTTTGCGGCGGCGCATCGAGCTTCCTCGGTATAAGGGTGCGGCGTCAGAGGGATTCCCTTCATTCTTCTTTCTTTGCTTCTGTTACTCCGTTCGGCAGGAACAGTAGCTTCTCTCGTTCCATCTCGTTCGCGTCGCCTTTGCCGCATTGCCGCTTCCAGGTTGCGAATGGCGGAGGCACCAAGGCCGTCCGTACTGCCAAACGGAAAACCCGCAAGTCCGGGGGAAGTAGTGGGCCCGGACCCGGACCCGTTGAGAATTTGAAAATTTCCCCAGTGAGCTCGTCGGTTGAGTTTGAACGGCAAGGACGAAGGAAGCCGGCGCTAACAAGGAAAAATACGAACACGCCGGCGAACGTTGCCACACTGTACCAAAGCGGCGACCCGCTGGGGCGGAGGGATCTCGGCAAGTGTGTGGTGACGTGGATTAGTCAAGGTATGAAAGCCATGGCTATAGATTTTGCTACGGCGGAGGTTCAGGGGGAGGGGGAATTCTCGGAGCTCCGGCAGCAAATGGGGCCAGGTCTGACCTTCGTTATTCAGGCACAGCCTTACCTCAACGTCGTGCCGATGCCGCTAGGCCTCGAGGCCATCTGCTTGAAAACCTGCACCCATTACCCTACCCTCTTCGACCATTTCCAGCGGGAGCTCAGGGATGTTCTCAAGGACCTTCAGAGCAAGTCTTTGGTTCAAGATTGGCGGGAAACCGAGTCATGGAAGCTTCTCAAGGATGAATTACTACTGCGGATGAGCTCATTTTGACGAGTAGAGAAGAGATGGAGCTCCCTCCGGCGAAGCTTGGTCAGAGTTAATGAAGAAGAAGGCGTGAAAAGACCAAAATGTCCCGGACAAATCGGAGCTCTTGCCTGAGACTTGACGGAATACGGCCATAGGGACTGATTTGACGAAAAACAATTATTTTCGGGGACTAAATCGATGAATACGTGATTCAGGGACAACATTGACAAGTCGCGAATAAGTGAGGGACCAAATCGTTGATTCACCCTATATTAGAACATCTCCAACTATTTGAGGTTTTTTTTTTTCTCAATTTTTTAGATGTTAATTAGGATTGAGAGGTGCAAGCACCTTGTGCTTAGATGGCAGGTAGGAGGTCATGAGATCGAGCATCAGTGGAAGTGGTGTTGACTCTTTGTGCTTTAACAGATTAAGAAAGTATAGTTAAACACATACTACAATGTAATAGAGTCAGTATCTTTACGCGTACCTGCTGCAATTGTTTTTTAATTTTGTTTGTTAGTTGGCAGCTAAAAATCAGAAAAAAAAAAAATAAAATAACCGAGATGAAAGTGGCATAGTGCTTTTAGTGATTTCCGGTATAAGCAATGAATTGGCCTGAGCAGGTACACATGGTTACTGGTTAGAGTGACATTTACTAGTGCAAATTCATTTCATCAGACGTAATGCATTTAGTTAGGGCTATCAACATTCAACCAGCTGCTTCTTCCTCATTTATTCCAATCCTATGAATTCCTATCTACTTCCTTCCCACTTCATTTAAATCCGATTTTCCAACTGCCCCACCATCCCCTTTAATTCAGATATTGTCTCATTAAAAAAAAAAACTTAAGTGATCCAGCCAGCTTCACTGGACTAATTCTAAGTCCACAGATTTCGCCCTTAAAACCACTGCAAAGGCAAATCACAAATCACGCAATTAGCCCTCCAATTAGATTCTACTATTCTAGTCTTCTTCAAAGGAACCAATCCAAACCTTCCATCATCCTTGGACTGACCTTTAAGTCAGGCGGCGAACTAACTACGCTAAGCCCCACATGGCAAAAATGTTAAAAGGTGAGTGATTGGTATTGTATAAAATTATCTTACATGAGAAAATTAATATTTCTTTTACAAAAAAATGTACTCTCCCAATCTTATTTTATTGTCTTTTCGGTTAACGATGTCTGATTGAAGTTATTTACAATTTAATTATTTTATAATATTAAATTTAGTATTAATATATAAATTTATATATTTAAAAGTTATATTAAAGTACTATTAAATATAAAAAATTAAATTTAAAATTATAAGAAAATACTAAAGAAAATAAGTAAAGAATAAAGAATTAATTTGACCACTGAATAGTAAATATGACAGGTAAAATGAAACAAAGTGAATAATATTTTTT